TTCAGGGCCGGTACTCTATCCGCTGCACCACCTCATTGCCCTGGGCTTCCCTCTCATTCAGAGACTTTCCTGAGCCTGCTCATTTTTAATTCTCTCTTCTCCACAATGAATTGCTTTGTATTTGCTTCATTAATAGTAATAATAAAAATTAGCAATATACATAGTACTTTAAAATTTACAAAGGGTTTTACAGACATTTCATTCAAACCACATAATAAACCTGTGAAGCAGATGCTATTACTATCCTCATTTAACAGTGAAATTAAGTGACCTGCCCACTGTCAGGCAGCCAGTAAGTAGCTGTTATGGAATTTCAACCCATGTGTCTCTGACCCAAATCCAGCACTCTATCCAATATGTCATGCTGCCTCACAAACCTCACAAATACTTTTCATCCAATTACTTGTGTAAATGTTATGTCCTCTCAGTAGAATGTTAAGACCTGAAGTGCAGGGGAGTTTTGATTTTTGTCTTTGTATCTCCAGTACTTTGCACAGCACTCGGCCAGTTAGTTGGTGTTCTGTAACGTTTGTTGAATTGAACAGCATATAGTTCACAAAATCATGAAGCTAACAACATTTTAGTGCTGCCAACACTTAACGCCAAGACCCCTTCACCTTAACCTTCCTCCCTTCCTCTTTATCCCTATGATCAAGAAAATCTGAATTTAATTCGCTGTTTCTCTCCAAGTAAACTTTTTTTCACTAAAAAACAAACTACCAAGTCCACCAAACTCTCCTTACTTAATTTTCCTTTTTCTACCTAAGAGTGGCCAGTCTAGATAAGCCATATAATCTACTTTCTCATTTCAACTGCTTTACTCCCCGAAAAGCATCCTTGACTGATTTCATGGGATGTTAGAACTGAAAGGGACCACGGAAATCACAAAATCCAAACCCCTCCTTCTATAGATGAGAAAAACAAAGGTCCCGGGAGATGTCTGGTTGACTTGTCAGTGGCAGGGCCAGGTCTAAAACTCAGGTTTCCTGAATCCTGTTTCTATATTCTTTCAACATAACCAACCAAGTCTCTTATGTGCAACTGTGCTAATTAAAATAAGCATATCTATTTTCTAATTGTCAATCATTTTTATTTATAAAAAGGAAAACTCATTTAAAACCAAGTTAACAAATAAATCAGTTGACTCAGCAGTTTAATTCACTTTCTCCTTGATAAAAGCAGGAAAAAGAGAGTCGAGCTTTTCTGTTTTTTCAATTCCCACACAATTCTCAAGTTAAACAAGTTGATCCAAAGGAACAAATATTCTTCCTAAACCTAGAGAGAAGCCACTAAAATTTCATAAAATATATGTTGGGGCAGCTAGGTGGTGCAGTGGATAGAGCACCTGCCCTGAAGTCAAGAGTACCTGAGTTCAAATCCAGCCTCAGACCTAACACTTGACACTTACTAGCTGTGTGACCCTGGGCAAGTCACTTAACCCCAATTGCCTTAAAAAAAAAAAGAAAAAAAAATAAAATATATGTTGTGGAGAGATGACTGCTGAACGTCCACATCATAGTCAAATCTAATTCTTCATTGATTAAACACTGAGGGGCAGCTAGGTGGTGCAGTGGATACAACACTGGCCTGGAAGTCAGGAGGACCCCAGTTCAAATCCAGCCTCAGACCAAACACTTGACACTTACTAGCTGTGTGACCCTGGGCAAATCACTTAACCCCAACTGTCTAAAACAAACAAAAAATAATAAAAACTAAAAAAAATTTTAAAAAATAAAAACATTGAGAGTAGGGGCAAGAAAATAATCTGGAAATTGAGTAGCCTTTTGTAGGCGTGTGAGTTTTAATAGTATTTAAATTTTAATTTGTTTCACAGTTTATATGTGAAATAGTCACATATCATGGATAGGCATGGACAAGTTCAATCCCCATTCTCAGATACAATACTCACATCGATGAGATAATAGAGCTATAAACATATATTTCTATATCCATAAATATATATATTGAATTAAACTCTAAGTTTAATGTTTAAAATCTTTGTAAAATATATGTGTGTACACATGTCAGTATATGTTTTTAAAATCCCACCCTGCTGTTAACTTAAAATATCAGCAGTGAAATATTTCTAACTCTTAGCTTTTTAGCTTGGACTCATGAATTAGATGATCTCAAGAATTACAGAAAGTTGGAGGGGGAGGAGGGACTTAAAGGTCATTTAGGGCAACAGTAAAAGGAGTGAGGGGATAAGGAAACAAGCATTTATTAAGTACCTACTGTGGGTTAGGCACTGTGCTTAGCACTTCACACATATTATCTCATTTGAGATGGCAGTTTCAAAGAAACCTGGGAAGATTTGTATAAACTGATGCAGAGTGAAGTAAGCAGAGCCAGAAAAACAATTTATATAATAACAGCATCCTAAAGACTAACAATTTTGAATGACTGAAGAACTCTGATCAATTCAATGATCAGGCACAGCTCCCGGGGAAGCATTCCACATATCTCCTGACAGAGGAATGGTAGACTCAAGACAGAGAATGAGACAAACATTTCTGGACTTGACAAATAGATGGATATTTAGTTTGATTTTGCTTATTTGTTACAATGACTGAATTTTTCTTTTTGTATGGGGAGGGGTGGAATAGATTAAGAGAGGAGAACAGAGATAGCAACAGGGTCACCAAATAACGGAGAAAATAAAGATGGTCCTTGAATATTTTTTTTAATCACAGATTAGACTGAAGGAAGTTCAGAAGAAAATAACAGGCAAGTAGGACAGGTTTTAAAAATAAAAACAATTCATTTGTTTTTTACTTTTTTTTAAAGCAAGAGGTCCATAATATTGACTTGTATTTTCACAATTACCTGTCTCTGTTCTGCTTTGTACATGTAAATGTTCTCTTTTTTTTCCTTGGTTTTCATTAAATCCACAATTAATTTTTTTAGGACAAAAAATGAAATATGTTCAAATATTTGCTGTACAAGTTTAGGGGTTTTTTAAATCTTCTGTATATGGAAATGCTCATCATATTTGGTGTCACTTAAGTTCAGTAGATATCAATGACAGACAGACTAAATTCATACATAGCTCATGTAGCCCGACCCACTCATTTTACAGGAGAAGAAACTAAGATCCAAGGTCACAAAGTTAGTAAGTTATAGAGCGAGAATGTAACCCCAGGTCATCTGATTTCAACTCAAGTGCTTATCGCCACATCCTTTTTCTCCCCAATATCTATGATTCCAGTTAAAAACATAAACTGCATTGAATGCTCCCTATCTACTGTGAGCTATCCCCAGTACTGAAGCAATGTCTGGGCACTGAATCTTAGGGAATAAAAATTAACCTAAACATACAAAATCTAAAGAAGACTACATCACTATGGGAACTGAACTTTTCAGGATCCACTTAAGCTTCCTAAACTTTCTGTATCACTTTCAATCAACAATTAAAAGTTGTATTACTGTGCAAAACAGCAAATCTCTACATGTCTTCCTCTTAACTCAAGGCTTCCATCATTCAGAGCATCTTAAAACTGATTACTTAACACACACTCACTACAGATGCCATCTGTTCACAGAAGCAGAAAATGTCATGCTGAAACACAGAGAACTAACACCCCTAATAATACCTAAGAACAAGGGTTTACAAAGGCAACTGAGTCCTACATTTCTATGTCTATGATATTCAAGATTTGCTTTGGCCTTCAAGAGAAGCCAGAGACACTCAAGAATACTGGCTATGATACTTGTACTTCTGAAATTAGAGAGAGAGAGAGAGAGAGAGAGAGAGAGAGAGAGAGAGAGAGAGAGAGAGAGAGAGACAGAGAGACAGAGACAGAGAGACAGAGACAGAGAGAGGGGGGAGGGAGGGAGGAGAGGGAGAGAGAGAAATGGGGCATATAGTAAGTGGGGGCCAATAATAATAAGGTACCTTGTCAAAGGCAAGAAGTACATAGTTCAATTCTTTAAAGCTGAGTTGCACAGCAGCTTATTTGACTCACCTAACGATCTAACTCCTTAAGCTATCAGCAGAACTCTGCTGAAATTATTTCCTCTAATTTTTCTTAATTACTTCACCTCTCCCAGAAGAAAGAGGAAAATAGATGCTACTGGTCTAATCTAGCCCTATGAATGTCGACAGGGCATCCAAACTAAGTGAATTCTGAATGTAATTAAGACACAGCCTAGCTGTGAACCAGATCAGGTAACTTAGATTAAGACACCCTAGGGAATCAGAGTAAGATTTGGATGTGGAGAAGGGTTCCTATCCCCCGCCCTCAAAGCCAGACTTCACCAAGATTTGCAAACCCTTGGCCCCCGTTTCTTAGAGGCTTCTATTCTCCTTTTGCTGTCAATAAAGGCACACATGGTGTACGAGCGCGTGTATGTGTATGTGTATGTGGTGTATGTGGTGTATGTGGGGTGTGTGTGTGTGTGTACCTCGCCTGGGTGAATCATCAGCGCTCATTCCAAGCAACCGATGATTCATTCACGCGTCTTTCAGAGCGCGGCCACACGTTCCGTACGTACTATACGGGCGCACACGCAGATTTCTTAATATTTAAATTGAGCTTTTAAGGTCCACACACCTCAAGTGAGACGCGTGTAAAGGGGGCGTAAGGATGGGGGAGGGCACCGGGCACGTTTCGCCCCCCGCACAAGCGCTTGTAGAACACACACACACACACACACACACACACTCACGAATCACCATCCTCCTCCGGCTCCTCCTCCTCCTCCCCTCCTCCCCAGCCAGCCGCTAATGCACGTGGGGATGCGCCAGGGAGAGGCGCTGGAGGGCACACAGGTGGGTCCCCAGGTCCTCAGCCCCAAGCGATTCGCCTGCTACCTCCCGCGTGCCCCTCCCCCACAACTTGCGAAAGGAGCAAAAAAATGCCTTCGCAACGCGCCTCCCGCCCGCTCGCCCTCCCCCTCTGACTTGCTCCCTCCCTCCTGTGACATCTTATATAATAATCCGAGCTAATCAAAACGGAAGCGAACCGCGCTGCCATGGCACATTAGCCAGAGATAATTACCCTGGGAACAGATGCTCTGGACACGGGCCCGCGGCTCCCTAACTAGCCGCCGGGGCGCGTTGCTAGAACAATCCCGAGCGGGGGAAGCGGCCAAAAGCGGAGCTTGTTACCCAACACTGTGAATGTGCGGCTGTTCCCGGTCCCTCATCAGGAAGCTGTGAGCGTCACCAACTGCGTCAGCTTCTTCAAACACATCGCCTGGGCTCCCTCCGGTCACAACTACGGGCAGGAGCCGCGGGCGGCCGGGGCGGAACCGCGGGCTGCCCGCAGGAGAAAGTTAGTGGCCGCTAGCGGCCAGCACGGCTGCACTTCGCGGCCCCTCGGAGGCCGCCCTCCCGGCCCCGCAGCCCGCCGCGGCCCCGGGCTTGTTGGGCAACTTGTGACACATGACGCCGGGCGGAGCGGGCGGCTGTTCCTCCCACCCCCTGCCCGGCGCGGCCCGGCCCAGCCCTGCCCGATAGCCCCGCGGCCGCAGCCCCCAAAGGTCCCCGCAAACACCGCTCCGCCCCCCCCCCCGACCCGATCCCAGCCCGCACCCCCGAGCAGAGAAAAAAAACTACGCAAGAAACTTCCCGGCCCGCCCTGGGCAGAGAAGGAGGCTCCCGCACCTCGCAACTGCCTTACCTTGCTCTCCAAAGGCCATGATATGTGTGTGTGTGTGTGTGTGTGTGTGTGTGTGTGTGTGTGTGCCTGCGCGTGTGGATATGTGTGTATGTGTGTGCACGCGCGCGCGCGTGGGGAGGCGGTAGGTGACTGAACAGTGGCTCGGAGGAGTTTCGCGGGAGGGAGGAAGAGGAGTGGGGGTGTGTTAGCGGCAGGGGAAGGAGGGAGAACTCGGAACGCAGGAGCGCGCAAGAGCGGAGCCCGAGGCGCCCGGGGCGAGCGAGAGAGCGCGGAGGGGGCGGAGGAGTTTCCGTGGGTTTGTTTACGCACCGCTGCCCGCCCGGCTCGGGGCACAGCCCGTACTCCCTGATTGGCCACAAACTGGGGCACTGCCTCTTGCTGCCCGCGTGGCCTGAGAGCAAGCGCGCAGCTCCCTGGGCTCCCTGCTGGGCACCGCTGGCTTTCCGCCGCTTAGCGCGGCCTCGGGGATGCGGGGAGCGGGCGGCCGCGGGGGCTGCCTTGTGCCCACCGACCGAGCCCACCCCTCCGTGCAGTGAACGGGGTGGACTGGATGACCTCTAAGGTCCCTTCCACTTCGGACATCCTACATGTCAATGATTCTCCCACCTGTAATTGCCCGACCTTGGCCGAGGGGGGCCTGAGGCTTTCTCAAGGCCATAGACCTTCGTTAGGTTAGGAGGCAATGCACCTGAAACCACCAGATTTTCGCTCTTAGAGGAGCCTTCCACTCACTGGTCCCTTCCCACTCTAAAATGCTTAGAGGTCATTGAGCCCAAACCTCTCATTTGAAGAGAAACTTGGGCCCAGGCAGGTCAAATGAACCAATCTGCTAAGTTGTAGAACTAGAATTAGAACCTCTCCTCCACTCATATAGCGTCATTTGGGGGGGAGGGGCAAGTTACCCTAGACACACATACTTTTAGGCTACGGAATAAAGTTGGCTACAAGGCACTCACCGTGGCTTGAGTTAGACAGACCCTGAAAGCTGGCCCAAGAGATTCCTCCACTCCCATTCTTCTCTTCCTTTCTCTACCTATCCTTTTACGTTCTTTCTTTTTTCTCTCCTTTTCTCACTATGAATTCCACTCACTTGTATTTCTCTTTCTCTCCTTTCCTCCTTACCCTAAGTTCCCCTCTCCTCTTCTTTGCACTTCCAGATTCTGCTGTACTTTCCTCCTCACTTTCCCTTATTACCTGTGCTCTCCTTTGCTCCTGCATGCTTGAAAGGAAGACTTACCCAGTTAAGGAAGGCGCTTGTCTTCATGACAAAGGAGAACAGAGTTTGTAATCATGTAGTTTGGGACTCAGCACAACTTCCAGTTGAGAGGGAAGTTATCCAACAAATTATACTCAATGAATCATTAGACTGTTTTTCATTGTTCCCCTTCTATAGAGGACCCTAAAACTTGTCTGCCTTCCTATCCTACTATCTTGTCCCTAAAGGACATCTCCACATGTCCTTTTCCTCAGTATTCTACCTCCCTCCCGCCTATGTTTCTGTCATTACTATTCTACCTAAGCCCACCTACCGCTACTCACACTTCAGTACTATTCCCTTTTTCTTTCCCAAACTTGCTCCAAACTTTCTCCAAGAATCACTATTTCTAGCCCAGTTCTCTCTCCTGAGTTTCAGACAGCCACCTTCAAACTGAATGTCCTGCCAACAAATCAAATTCAACATATCCAAACCTGAAAGATATCCAAACTATCTTTCCCCCTAAACCTATTACATCTGATTTTTCAGACTAAGATATTTCTGTCAGTGGCACTACCATTCACCCAGTCTCTCATGTTGAAAATGCTGGTCTTACCTTTGACTCTGTTCTCCCTTTCCCCTCCTATCCAATTAGTTCATCACCGGGTCCTATCTTTTCTGCTCTACTATAAGCTTTTATTACCACTTGTCTGATCTGTTGCAATACTTTCTTAATGGGTCTTCCAATCTCTCTCTCTCTCTCTCTCTCTCTCTCTCTCTCTCTCTCTCTCTCTCTCTCTCTCTCTCTCTCTCATATCACTCTTCACACCAGTGTCAAAGTTTTCCTCCTTGTGCATTTATCTGGTTAGATCACTCCTCAGCCTTGTGGCGTTAAAGATCTCACAATCTTTGTCACTGTCCTTCTTCCTTAACATTCTACTCACTTCCACATTCTCATGGATCTAAATCGGACTGCTTTTTGTTCCTCAGAGATACTCAACACTTTATCACCCCTATGCCTTTGCTCGTGATATTACTTACACAGGGAATGCCCCTGCTACACACAAACATACCTGTTGATTCACTACACATCCTTTCCTCCAGGAAGTTGATCCTGATCCCTTCAGTTAGTAATGACCTTTCTGCCACTGAACTTCACATAGTACTTTGCCTGCACCTGCCTTCAGCACTTTGTATCTTTTGATTCTATAAGTTACTTGAGAATTTGTCAACCTCCTCTGCTAGACTGGATTGTTTTGTTTTGTTTTTTTAATTTTAAGTCCAAATTAAGCCAAAAAGCACTTAAGTTGTGGTAGCTGTGGTATACAAAGATAAAATAATCAAAGCTCATGTGTATGTGACATTTTGGGGTCTCTAAATGGTTCAGTAGATAGAGCACTGGGACTGGAGTCAGGAAGACTGGAGTTCAAATGAGACCTCAGACACTCACTAGGTATGTGACCCTGGGCAAGCCACCCAACCTGTTTTCCTTAGTCCACTGGAGAAGGAAATGGCAAACCATTCCTGCATCTTTGCCAAGAAAACCTCATGGACAGTATGATCCATGGGTTTTCATGAAGGCAGAAAATATCTAATTCTTGTATGTCCTTCAGAAAATGAGGACCTGGTCTAGATTGGGGTTCTTAACTTGAAGTCTATGACTGTATTTTAAAACATATTTTGCTAAGTGTATTTTGTTTCGTTTGTAATCCTATTTAAAAACATTAGTCTGAGAAGGGGTCCCTAGGTTTTATCAGACTGCCAAATAGGCACATCACACACACACACACACACACACACACACACACACACACACACACACACACACACATTCCTGTTTTAGATGATCTTTTATGTCCCCCTTTAAACTGTAAAATGCTGTAAGGGGAAAGAGAGAGATGGAGAGAAAGGAGAAATGGATAGATTTGGGAGAGAGAATGAAGGCAGGCACAGAGAGTAAAATATTCATGTCAGCGGTCAAGAAGAGAAAAGAAAGAAATAGATCACAACTTAGAGAGAGAGAGACTAAAACAGAAAAGAGACTGGGGGGAGGGAGAAATGGGAGTTGGGGAACCAAGGATCAAAGTAAAAATAAAATGGGAACAGAAAAAAAAAAGTAAGTTCATGACTGGAAGATGATGAGAGAGAAAGGTAGGAAAATGACCAAGACACAGGAAGACCACCCTATCCAATTTTAGAGCAGGAAACTATGGACTAAATATGAGAATTAGTAATAAAAAGGTACACAGTTTTTTAAAAAATCTACATATTATCTGGATGCTTTTCCTACCTCCAGTTGCTTACTCCTTCGATGAACACAGAAAACAAATTACAAATTATCCTAATGTAGCATAGATGTCATTGACAGTAACCATGAAATGTTTCCATTTTGATATAAAAATTCAAGTTCAGAGCACATTTTTGAATGCCCCATACAGGTTTTTCATTGAGAGGTTTGGCCCAGTTTTCCCAACTCTGAAAGGTTTACTGCCACACCCAGAAGATATGAGAAAACTCCTCCCTTCCTAAATTAAGCTTATTTTAGTAAGAGAATTGGTAATTTCTGTACTGTCGATCTATGACACTCAAAGGCATTACTCAAAGAAATTCACACACAAAAGCAATCGTGTGAGGGAACATCACTGTGTGTCCTGATTCTGTATTTCCCAGTTTATTCTCTGGAGATTGACTCTCAAGTGCTGTGGCTATAATGAGAAACTAAATTTTTTTTTGGCCACAGTTCTGACTTTGACGTCATTCCTAAGTCTCCATTGGAGGCCATTAAGGTCCTGTGATTGATTAGGTCTTGTTTGTTGATTGAGTCTTTAAGATGCCATGTACTTAGCAATTTTTAAAATTTTGTGTCTCAGATAAGACTATGGAAAATGCCAATGTGAAATAGGAATGTCCCTCCCAGTTTACCTAGTAAAGACTAAGGCAAAAGTTTTTGTGTTAGCAAAAACAAAAAATCCTGGAAACAAAGTGGGTACCCATTGTTTGGAGAATGGCTGCACAAATTTTAATATATGCGTGTAATAGAATATTATTTTGCCTTAAGAAATGATGAATATGATGAATTCAAGAAATTTGGCAAGAACATGAACTGACTGATTGTAATGGTACATACTTGTAATGCCTCCTCCTGGAGAGGCTGAGGTCAGTGGATTGCTTGAACTTGGAAGTTCTGAGCTGCAATAGGGCTAAAGCTAATTAGGTATCTACACCGAGTCTGGAATCAATATGGTGAGTCCCTATGAGCAGGGGAAGGAAACATCATACTGCCTAAGGAGGAGTGAACAGCCAAGGTCAGAAACGGATCAGATCAAAGCTCCAGGGCCAATCAGAAGTGGGACTGGGTCAGTGAGTGGTTGTTGCACTTCCAGCTTGTGAAAGAGAGAAAGAAAAGAAAGGATGCAAGGAAGGAAGAGAAAGAATGATAGAAAGAAAAAGAAAGGAGGAAGGGAGGAGGAAGGAAGAAAAGAAGGGAGAGAGAGAAGGAAAGAGAAAATGTTTATATGAACAACCAAGAGAATTATATGCACAATGATCACAATAATATAGAAGAAAATGAAACTAAAAGTGTCAGATCAAACAGATCATTGTAATGACCAGTCTTGACTCTAGTAGATGTAATAGAGAATTGGTGAACCATGGATGTAGATTGAGACATACTATGTCAGACATGGTCAACAGGTTTGATTTGCGAAATTTTATTTCACTGGTACGTGAAAGGACTTTATAGGGATGAGGAAGTGGAAAATGATGGCTGCATTTAAAAAAAGCATCAATGCAACATTTTTAAAAGGACAAGGCAAAGCAAACATTTAGTCTCTACTATATTTTTGTCTCTGAGAGCACTTTTTCATTATGATCATGAAATAAACTAATTTACCTTCCTCCTTTTAATTTATCTACAGAATTTATAACTATTAGACTGAAGTCCATTGTCAGTTACTTCTTGAATTCATTTATGTCCTTCTTGATTTCTAGGTTGCTTTTCAACTCACATTTTAAACTTTCCTGTTTTCTTCACTTGCCATAACCTTTCTCTTCCTTGAAAGATAACTCTCC